TTTGTACATTTCTCAATAGATAAGGAGTTCTCCAATGCCATGTATAACAATTATGTATTCAGTGATTAGAAATTGCCAGGGGGAGGGGGGCATCCCTATGCGTTAGAGGGTAAAGCCTCTGCCTGCAAAGCAGGATACCTGGGTTTGATCCCTGGGTTGGGAAGATCCCCTGGAGAAGGAAATGGCAACCCACTCCGGTATTCTTGCTTGGAAAATCCCATGGACTGAGGATCCTGGTAGGCTACAGTCCATGGGGTCGCAAAGAGTCAGACACGACTGAGCGACTTCACTTTACATACTAAAACTACGCGGCTTCCCAGGTGGCACTAGTGGTGAAGAACCTGCCTGTCAATGCAGGAGACTTAAGAGACAGGGGTTCAATCCCCAGGTTGGAAAGATACCCTGGAGGAGGGCATGGCAACCCACTCCAATATTCTTGCCTGGAGAATCCCATGGACCGAGAAGCCTGGTGGGCTGCAGTCCATGTGGTCGCACAGAGCCGGCCACGACTGAAGTGACTCAGCACAGCACAGCAGTATGCTACAACCATGCATGGGTTATTTATTTAATCACCATAAACCCTTATAAAGTGGATGCTGTTACTATGAACATTTTACAGATGAGGAAACCAAGGGTCACAGAGGTAGAAAGTAGAAAGTTAGCTAGATGGTAATGAAGAAAAAATTCAGACTTAACAAGGCAGTTCAAGAGGTGATTTTCTTAACAACCACACTCTCTTGCTTCAGAGTTCAAGAACCATTCCTCTGCTGCTGTATCTTCTGTCTAATACAAGAATAGTAATAGATATTTTGTATATATTCACTGGATGATTACATGAATGAATGAATGATGAATAGATGAATGAGTACTTTAATAGAGTGCTTTTCACTTCAATATAACAGATTTGCAATTAAAAATAAGACTTGGCCAGAGCTCAACCAAGAGTCTGCATTAAAATACTAATAAAACTGTATNAAAAAAAAAAAAAAAAAAAAAAACTCCAGTGGGGATATTGCAAAGAATCCAAAATTTGAAGAGAGGAGAGTGGGAGACCTGCTGTGGATGGACTGAAACAGCTGTTTCAAGAACCCTAAGTATCTAGGGAAGTCATCCAGAGAAAGGCCATCCACTGTGCTTCCATCTCTCCACTGAAGCACTGCCTGTCCATATGCTTTTGAAAGCCCAGCCTGTCAGACCCATGCCTAGGGCTAGTTTTCCCCTTGTCTCTGTCCAGGAAATGGCACCAGAGTGTTTCTAAAGTATAAGCGAAAGAAAAAGTTCATTATGGTACAGCTCTGAATCTGAGGTTAGATGATATTACATTAATTGGACTGAATAAATCAACATTGTACTTTATAAGTGAACAAAGGGAAAATTAAACAAGAATAAAAATAAGAATATTTTAAAACATGTTTGTAGAACTAGATGGTTTTTTAAATGGTTTTCCAATATTTTCTCTTTAATCCCCACAAGAGTCCTCTGATTATACTCATAATTTCTTCCATTTTATAGATGAAGAAACGATTTTCAGATAGCCACTTAGGAGCCTGTATTTAGTAAACATGGGGATGGACTCAAATTTAAATCTCCTGTTAAAAATTCCTTACCCTTTCCATCACTACATATCAACCCAAAAGAGAGGATATTCTCAAGGCATATTTAACTTCCTACAATAAACTGTATACCTATTTTAATGGCAAACTTTTATGAAATGAAAAATAATTTGCATGAGTTGCTATTTAAAGAGAATTTTGTGAAGCTTATCTTTACAAGAACACACATTATTTTTACAGAATATTCAATTTATTATCATATTCTCTATTGGTAAAAATAGTTAATTAAGAATATGAGTGAGCACTGATGATGGATTCTAATCAAATATTATTTGATTCATACAAAAATAATACTTAAAGTATCTTTAACTACTTAGAGAAAATCTTTCTTCATGAGCCAGGTGAAAAGTTAAGGATATCATTCTGTCAGGATAAAATGATCTTTGATGCTTTGTCAGAAACCACTAATTGCTTACCTCACCTTGCCTTCTCCTGTTTATTAAAAGTACCTCAAAAAACTAAAAGCATTTCCAGGACTTCCCATACATATGACCTAGGAAAGGAAGTTCTTAAAGAATGAAAAACTCACTGGAACGCACATTTTGCCTTCTATCTTTTCCCTTCATCCTGAATGGAAGGTAGGCATGTTGCTAGATATGGAGCTGCCAATTTGGGGCTATGAAAAGACATGTATGATACACACAGTCTACTAAGGATGGTTAAGAAAAGAAAAAGGAACTTAGGTACAGTAATGGATTACAGAGTCACTGAACCAGTGCCGAGTATGATACAAATAAAATGATATTTAGTTATATCACTATTATTTGGGTTATCAGTTACATGCAGCTGAAAGTAATACTTGGTACATTTACCCTGAATCAATCACTATATCCAGGGAGAATGATGGGAACTGACTGGTTTATGTCTGGTTTAAGGACTCTCACCTCATTAATTTCTATCTAGTTATATATATTTTTTTCCTTTATTTTTATTAGTTGGAGGCTAATTACTTTACAGTATTGTAGTGGGTTTTGTCATACATTGACATGAATCAGCCATGGAGTTACATGTATTCCATTTCATAATGTTTATTACAACTTAAGTTTCTGCCCAAGTGTATAAAATAATGCTCAAAGTACAGGTACCAACATCATTTATTTCTGCTACTGTATATATATACTCTGTATATATTTTGCTTAGTTGCATATGCAAAAGTCATCTTACATATTGATTTCTATTTTTTTGATTTAAATACATATTTTTAGTTTTGTTCTTAAATAGTATGCATTTTTATTTATAAATCATGAAATAATTTAAAAATTCAAAAAGTGAAAAGTATAATTTTAAACAAATGTTAATTAAAATCTCTCTGGCAGTGGTTCTCAAACTTTAGTGTTTGAGAAAAACACTCCAGAATCACCTGCAGGGTTTTTTCCACAGCTTTATTGAGTTATAATTAACAAATAAAGTTGCATATATTTAAGGTGGACAACATTATGATGTGACATACACAAACATTGTAAAATGATTACCACAATCAAGGTAATACATCCTCAGCTCACAAACATCTTTTTTGTGCATGATGAGAACTCTTAAGATTTAGTCTTGTAGCAAATTTCAAGTATACAATACCATATCATTATCCACAGTCACTATGTACATTAGATCCCAAGACCTTAGTCATCTTATAAATGAAAGCTTATATCCTATAACCAACAAGTCTCCATCCTCACCAGCCCTCCACCACTAACCATCTTTCTGCTCTCTGATTCTATGAGTTCAACTTTATAGATTTCACATAGAAGTGAGGTCATACAGTATTTGTCTTTCTCTGTCTGATTTGTTTCACTTAGCATAATGCCTTCCAAATTCATCCACATTGTCGCAAATGGCAAGTTTTCCTTATTTTTTATTGCTGAATAATATTTCATTGTGTGTGTGTGTGTGTATATCACATTTCTTTTACTCATTCATCTGTCAATGAACACTTAAGTCGCTTCCATACGTCAGATATTGACCATAATGCTGAAATGAGCATGGGAGTCCAGATATTTCTTTGAGAAACAGATTTCATATCCTTCAGATAATATCCAAAAGCAGGGTTGCTGAATCATATGATAGTTCAATTTTTATTTTTAACTTTATTTTACTGTGAACATTTTATGACTTTATTTTTTTTAAAGATCTTATTGTGTTTGTCTAAAGATTGTTTTGACTTTTTCATATATCTGAATAATTTTTCTAGTTCCTTAACTGCATTTTAAACTTTTCTTTTAATAATATGAATTACAAGATTTCAAATTTAACAATAGCTCAAGCTTGTGAAGTACCTTTTGTGATTTCCTACAACACTTTTTTATTTACTTATAAATCAATGACTTATTCATTTATTTGTTTATCAAATCTATTGCTTTTAATAGCTTTTCATTTTGTTGATCATCTCTGTGAGTAGTTTAATCTTTGATAATTTCTTTTTTTTTATTTTTCATCTGCTTTTTTTCCCTATTATTCCTTTGCATTGATGATAATTTTTGTAGCACGTTTAGGAATATGCTCAATAATGTTTAATATTTCCTATATTATAAAATTCCTATATTATATTATTTAGGAATATAAATTTTCCTTCAGGTTCTTATTCAGTATCATTAAACTTCACAAGTCATGCTACTAATCAATCATAATTGATAATGGTTAATAAGCACTTTACTCATTCACTATTAATAAATTTATTTTTGTTCCAGATCTATATTTGTTTTGTTTCAGAACATATTATCTATATATGTTCAAGTACATGTTGATTATTGAATTACTAGTGTTATAATCAAGAAACATTTCTCTATGTGGAGTTGATATTAATATTTTGTAATTTAGTGAAACTTTCTTTGAAACCTTAAAGCAAAAATTTTAGGCAAATTTTGTGTCTTTGAAAAGAATCTGGGAGGCACATCCACAAGAAGGCAGAATAGTAGGTTCCTACATCTTCCTCTCCCCAAAATCGGGTTCATGGAATAAACAACCACACATGCATAAATTCCTTCTGTGAAAACTTCAGAAACATTGAGAGTCTCTGAAACGCCTACCAACTGAGGAAATATTCACATTGAAACAGGTGGGAAAAGCGGAGACACACCCCAGTCATAAACCGGATCCTGGCACAGAGCTGCACCATCTAACAGAAGCCCCAAATCGTTTTTCCGTGAGGAGTGACGAGTTTGGACTACACATTTAACGCATCAATTTCCATTGCTGCCACCGAGGACTGACTTCCTAACGTACCTGTTTCTGGGGGCTGAGAGGCCTGGACACTCACTGACCCCTGAAGACCACAGAGAACAGAGGCCATTTTAAACCTGCGCAAGAGCACTTCTGAGGGCTGGCGCCCACGGCCCAGTGCCAGTTCTGAAGCCTCTGGCTGCTGTCAGAAAGTCTGATTTCTGGCTTGCTTACCTTTTCTGCGGACAGCGGCTATGTTCCGGCTGTTGAGAACTGAGTAAACGCAGTGACTTCGCCGCCCACAGCCGTTCTGTGGCAACATTTCTTCTGAGGTAGCCACGGCGAGGTGCTGACGGGGGAAGCGGGTGAGGCGGTAGGCACTTCCGGTGGCCCCTCTTTCGGCCGGCCCCCACGGCTGGTGATGTTTCTTCCGCGGAAGCAAGTGGGAGCCGCTGCCTAAGGAAGCCGGTGCAGCAGGTAGGCATATGGTGGTTCGTCCCTCTGCCCGCCCTCACTGCCTGTTAAAAAAAAAAAGTCCCAGCTTTCAGAGGGAAGGAACTAGATTTAACTTAAATGCCTTGGCTTTTCTGTCTGCTGTCTGAGGGTCTGGCCACAAATTCATGTGCCTGGGAACTGTGAGAGCCTGGCATTTGCTAGTCCCTCTGCATCTCCAGAGAATATGGGAACGTTTTGAGGGGCTTTTCAGGCCCTCCTGAGGTGCCTCTTCTCGCCTTCATTCTATCACTAAAATCCAGCTCCCAGCTTCTCCCTTAAAAGCATGTCCAGTGTTCCAGCTTTCCAGCTGTTTCTCGAGGGTTTGACTTTTTAGCGGCTCGTGTCTGCGAGACAGACAATCACTTAATTTCCGGGGAGTTTGATATGGCGGCCCGGAGTTTTGTGCCTCAAACCCCACCCTTAGTGCAGAGCCGGAACCTAATCTCCAGCTAACCCACCTGTATCTGAGAACTGAAGGGGCTCCAAGTTCTTTTGTTGGCCAGGGGTGAGAGAGAACAAAATATTAGTGGGAAGGGTCGTGCGGTCTGAGCTCGAGCGCAGGCGTTTGCGCAGCTTCTGTCCACAGCTTTGTGCAGAGCAAGTGGGCCGTAAACTCCAACTCCCAGGTTCTTCCTGAGGAGAACAGGGTTGGAATCAGACATCTAGCACCTCAGCCCTTCCAGGTGCTGCTCAAGGAACTGGGTTCTGTCTTGCCTGTCTTGGGGAGCGGAAAGGACTTAGCACATACTAATCTGTTGGGGGCGGGGGAAGATAACTGAAGAGATGGTTACATAGTTTGCTTGACTGTAGTAATAATTTCATTGTGTGTATACGTAGCTATATATATATATATATATATATAAATATAAATATGCTGTACACCTTACATACATAGTTTTGATTTTTAAAAATGTAAGAAAGAAGTATATTACTAATGGCTTTTGGGGAGCAAAACTGTAACTTATGAATCTATTAGAACAGTTTACAAATTATGTTGTTCAAAGCTTACAAAATTTTAATTGTTTTAGCTACTGTATCATTTTACAGCATTAAAATATTGCTTATGACTTTAGGTTTTTTTTTTTTAAACTAATAATCTTTTTCTATCATGAATCAAACCACCATTGTGTAGATAGATAGTACTGTTTCATGGGAGAGTGAGTTGTATATTTATATTAGGTTGGTACAAAAGTCACTGCAATTTTGGACAGTAAAATTTAAGTCATTATAACTAGGCTCAAACATCGTTATTAGTCAAAACAGGAACCATTACAATCAACACTTTTTCCAATGAGAAATAAGTTTATTTCTGTAGTATAAAAATCTATGCTTCAGGACCTGACAAACTCTTGGAAAGCATTTTTGGTCTCCTGCTCATTGTGGAAGGTTTTTCCCTGCAGAAAGTTGTGGAGATTCTTGAAGAAGTGGTAGTCGGTTGGCAAAAGTTTAGGTGAATATGGCAGCTGAGGCAAAACTTGCTGTACCTTAATTCATTCAACTTTTGAAGCCTTGGTTGTGCCACATGCGGTCAGGTGTTGTCGTGGAGAATTGGGCCCTTTGTGTTGACCTGCTGGCTGCATGCATTGCAGTTTTCTGTGCGTCTCATCGATTTGCTGAACATACTTATCATCTGTGATGGTTTCACCGGGATTCAGAAAGCTGTAGTGGATCAGATGGGCAGCAGACAGTCAAACAGTGACCATGACCTTTTTTTGGTACCAGTTTGGCTTTCAGAAGTGCGTTAGAGCTTCTTCTCGGTCCAGCCACTGAGCTGGTCATTGCCAGTTGTTTAAACTCCACTCTTCATCGCAGGTCACATTCCAATTTAGAAATGGTCTGTTGTTTTTGTGTAGAATAAGAGAAGACAACTTTTCAAAAGGATGATTTTTTTTTTAATTTTCAGTCAGTTCATGAGGCACCCGCTTATCAAGCTTTTTCAATTTGCTTCAAATGCTGAATGTGGTAGAATGGTTCACACTGAGTTCTTCAGCAACTACTCACGTAGTTGGAAGAGGATCAACTTCGATGATTGCTCTCAACTGGTCGTTGTTGACTTTCAGTGACTGACCACTGTGCTCCTCATCTTCAACGCTCTCACCTCTTGAATCACCATTGCACTGTGTGTTCATTAGCAATTTGTGGGCCGAATGAGATGTTGATGTGAGTTTTCTCCACTGCTTTATGACCCATTTTAAAGTCAAATTTTAAAAAAAATTGCTGAAATTTGCTTTTTGTCTAACATCATTTCTATTGTGGGTTCAACTCCTGAGTCAGAAAGATCCCCAGGTGGAGGAATGGCAACCCATTCTGTATACCTGCCTGGGAAATCCCATGGGCAGAGGAGCCTTGTGGACTATAGTCCATGGGGTTGCAAAAGTGTTGGACATGACTTAACAACTAAACAGCAAGTATATGTATATAAATATGTTTGTGTGTGTGTGTGTTAGTCCGTCAGTCAAGTCACTCTTCGCAGCCTCTAGGACTGTAGCCCACCAAGCTTTTCTGTCCATGGAATTCTCCAGACAAGAATACTAAAGTGGGTAACCATTCCCTTCTCCAGAGGAATCTTCTGGACCCAGAGATTAAACCCAGGTCTCCTGCATCGCAGGCTGATTCTTTACTGTCTGAGCCACCAGGGAAGCCCATATATAAATGTACACCTGTATAATACTTGTATGTATGTATAAAAATATATATATGTTTAAGTGGTCTAATCCCTCTCTTTTTTCTAAACTTTGTTCATATTACATCTTTTACTAACATTTCATGCTAGTTATAGCACCCCCAAACTCTTGTCAGTGATATTGAAGCCTTTAATTCTCAGAAATTGACTTCTGAGAAGATGCTCCTTTGGGGGGAGAATCTGCTTATTAATATTAGGAATAGCAATGTGTACTTTAATATAGTGTATGGCTTATATAAACTTAATTATAAACATAATCTCATAAACATATATATATGTATGTATATATATATATGTATATATAATGGAATGTTGATTTATTTTGGATACATCCCAAATATCTATTATAAGAGATTTTATTTGGTTTCTGTAATTTTCAAGTCAATTATATATTTATTTTAATTAGACTGGTGAACTGATTCCCAATTACAAACACTTGGGACACTTAGATTTAAGTCAACAGGCAACTCATTACTTTAAACTGGATTATGCTATTTTGTTTCTTTGAGAGACTGGAACACTCACAGTCACCATTCTTGGCATCCCAAACTGGTATTAATGTGCATAGGACTGAATTCTAATCAGAAATTTTCCTGAGGGATAACATATAGTGATTCAGTGATAGCTTTTCCTGTTTAATGATTACTTTTCTCTGTCAATGTACTTTTGTCATCTTGATTGGTGATACCCCACATATTTACATATTTTCCCTTAGGATGAGATACTTTTAAGATGACAACTCTCAAATGTTACCTGTTAATTTTTTCATCTTTTTCCTTCAGTGGCTAATCTATTATTGAAATTAAAAGGACACATCTTTCAAACCCATTCTCAGAATTCTCACTTATTGATAAATTTTTTCTTGCTCCTGTCCTTTTGCTGCTAAAGGTGATCAGAACTATTTGCAATGTTTTTTTTTTTTTTTAACCTACAGTTGGCCTTTGATAAAATAGACCTTGCACTAAAATATATGCTTTGGTATGGATTTTTGGTTTATAATCACTTAAAATATATTAAGGTACTGCTGATTAAGAGTAAAAATATATTTTATAAATATATTTTCAATTTTAAATGGTAAAAATGATGGCTTATTTTTGTCACATAATTTTATACCCAACGTTCTATGATTCTGTGTTTGTGATTGTATAACTGTAGTCCTAAATAATAGCACTGAAAATCTCCCAAATATTTTGATGTTTTGTGTATACCAGCTCAGTTTGTTCTCATATTATTTTACAGATGAGAAAAATGAATCACAGCAAAATCAAATGGCTTTCCTAGTACACCAAACTAGTAAGGAATGGAGCAAGTATTCACATCTGACCAGCTTTATCCAGTTTCCTTAGGGCTTTGGGGGATACTTTGACAACATATGATAAACAGCAATACATTAAACTATATATATGACCCAAAAAGAGGATAGCAAATTTCTTATATGGATACAGGACTCCAAAGGCAAAATATATACCTAACATAGTCCAGGAAGTGGAATGGCAACATACTAAGCAGGAACAGTATTTTTAACAAGGTAAGCGTAATATAGAAATGTGAAAGTTTTGTTTTTTCCTTCTATGTGTTAGTCTAGCACACTCTCTTTTTTTTACTCACAATTTTTTTAAAGCTATTTGTAAGAATGCCACATTTATTCTTATCATTACATATCTTTTTTTTTTCCTGGACATTCTAGACAATAAGTAAGAAAAGATAACAAGAGAAATATGTATTTGAAAGAGGTGGATAATCAATATTTGTAGAAATAATTATATTCTTAAAAAGTATCTCCCAGGAAATTCATTTAAAACATTGTTGGAATTGAAAATTTTATCTCATGTGAAAATAAAATGAGAATAGTTCTGTATGGCAACATAAAACATAAAATGTCTAATAAATAAAATATGCACAACTTAAAATGTGCATTATAAATGTTTCTTAGAAGGAAAATGAAGCAGACAAATAATTGGATATATTCCTAATAACAGGTGGTGTTGGTATTGTCTCCGTTAATTCATTGAGCACATATTTATTGAGCAATCAGTGTATGGCAGGTACTGCATGGATAAAATGTGTGAGCCAAAGCATTGCATTTACAGAGTTTAACAGTTGAGTTGCAAAGACAGATTATCCATATGGCACTTTAAAAATAATTATAAATCAGAAGACTGTAACCTAGTTGGGAAGTTCATAGAAATTGCCCTGCAAAAGAGACTAAAAATCTAAAATAAATTGAACAGTCTTATAGGTGGAGATGATGGGAGTGGGTAGTGTCTTCAAAGCAGAGGGAACTTATGGTTAAGATCCTAGTTGAGGCAGAAACACAGTGGTATTAGAGAAAAAATCCTGTGAAATTAGTATATAGTGAGCAAAAGGAAAAGTATATTACAAGGTAAAACTGTGATACGGAGTACATATCAGATGTGACATTGGTCCTGCTCAGACATGTACATGACACATTCTTAAGAACAAAGGGATAATAATTAAAATTATTTGATTTATTTAAATTAAGTTAAATAATTTAATATTAAAAATTAGGGAAACATGTTTGTATTTGTGTTGTATAAAAATCCCCTGACTGTCTTGAGAGAATAAATTTAAAATGGGATAAGAATTCAGAAAAGACTTTTGAATTCTGTAGGAGAAGGCAAGGGTGGAATGATTTGAGAGAATAGCATTGAAACATGTATATTCAGTTCAGTTCAGTTCAGTTCAGTTGCTCAGTTGTGTCTGCCTCTTTGCGACCCCATGAATCACAGCACGTCAGGCCTCCCTGTCCATCACCAACTCCCAGAGTTTACTCAAACTCATATCCATCCAGCCTGTGATGCCATCCAACCATTTCATCCTCTGTTGACTTCAGGTCAAACAACAGGGAGGGAACACAGCTCTGCCCATCAACAGAAAATTGGATTAGAGATTTACTGAGCATTTACTGAGCATGGTCACACCCATAAGAACAAGACCCAGTTTCCACAAGACCCACAGTCGGTTTCTCCCATAAGGAAGCTTCCTCTAAGCATCTTATCCCTATCTATCAGAGGGCAGACAGAATGGAAACCGCAATCACAGAAAACTAATCAAACTGATCACATGGCCCACAGCCTTGTCTAACTCAATGAAACTCTGAGCTCGGCCATGTAGGGCCACCCAAGATAGGTCATGGTAGAGAGTTCAGACAAAACGTGGTCCACTGGAGAAGGAAATAGCAAACCACTTAAGTATTCTTACCTTAAGAACTCCATGAACAGTATGAAAAGGCAAAAAGATAGGACACTGAAGGATGAACTCTCCAGTTCAGTAGGTGCCCATTGTGCTACTAGAGAAGAGTGGAGAAATAACTCCAGAAAGAATGAACAGTTGGAGCCAAGGCAAAAACAACACCCAGTTGTGGATGTGACTGGTGATGGTAGTAAAATCCAATACTGTAAAGAACAACATTTCATAGGAACCTGGAATATTAGGGCCATGAATCAAAGTAAATTGGAAGAGGTCAAATAGGAGATAGCAAGAGTAAACATCGACATTTTAGGAATCAGTGAACTAAAAAGGCCTTGGATGGGTGAATTTAACTCAATGACCGTTATATCTACTACTGTGGGCAAGAATCCCTTAGAAGAAATGGAGTAGCCCTCAAAATCCAAAAAAGAGTCCTGACTGCAGTACTTGGATGCTGCAAGTACTGAAAACAACATCCTGTCTCAAAAGCGACAGGATGGTCTCTGTTCGTTTCCAAGGCAAACTAGTCAATATCACAGTAATCCAAGCCTATGCCCCAACCAGTAATGCTGAAGAAGCTGAATTAAGACCTACAAGACCTTCTAGAACTAACACCCAAAAAGGATGTCCTTTTCATTATAGGGGACTGGAATACAAATTAGGAAGTCAAGAGATACCTGGAGCAAAAGGCAAGTTTGGTCTTGGAGTACAAAATGAAGCAGGGCAAAGGTTAGCAGAGTTTTGCCAAGAGAATGAATGGGTCATAGCAAACACCTTCTTCCAACAACACCAGAGAAGACTCTACACATGGATATCACCAGATGGTCAATAGCAAAATCAGATTGATTATATTTTTTGCAGCCAATATGGAGAAACTCTCTACAGTCAGCAAAAACGACTGGGAGCTGACTGGCTCAGATCATGAGCTCCATATTGCCAAATTCAGACTTAAATTGAAGAAAGTAAGAAAAACCACTAGACCATTCAGTTATGACCTAAATCAAATCCCTTACGATTATACAGTGAAAGTGACAAACAGATTCAAGGGATTAGATCTGATAGACAGAGTACCTGAAGAACTGTGGACAGAGGTTCATAACATTGCACAAGAGCCAGTGATCAAGACCATCCCCAAGAAAAAGAAATGCAAAAAGGCAAAATGGCTTTCTGAGGAGGCCTTACAAATAGCTGAGAAAAGAAGAGAAGCTAAAGGCAAAGGAGAAAAGGAAAGCTATAACCATATGAATGCAGCGTTCCAAAGAATAGCAAAGAGAGAGATGAAAGCCTTCCTCAGCAATCAAAGCAAAGAAATAGAAGAAAGCAATAAAATGGGAAAGACTAGAGATCTCTTCAAGAAACTTAAAGATACCAAGGGAACATTTCATGCAAAGATGAGCACAATAAAGGACAGAAATGCTGTGTACCTAATAGAAGCAGGAGATATTAAGAAGTCCAGTTCAGTTCAGTTGCTCAGTTCAGATGGACACAGTCGTTTCCATCTCTTTCCGACTCAATGGACTGCAGCATGACAGGCTTCCCTGTCCATCACGAACTCCCAGAGCTTGCACAAACTAATGTCCATCGAGTCAGTGATGCCATCCAATCATTTCATCCTCTGTTGTCCGCTTCTCCTCCTGCCTTCAATCTTTCCCAGCATCAAGGTCTTTTCCAGTGAGTCAGGTCTTTGCATCAGGTGGCCAAAGTGTTGGAGTTTCAGCTTCAACATCAATCTTTCCAATGAATATTCAGGTCTGATGTCCTTTAGGATGGACTGGTAGGATCTCCTTGCAGTCCAAGGACTCTCAAGAGTCTTCCCCAACACCACAGTTCAAAAGCATCAATCCTTCTCTGCTCAGGTTTCTTTATAGTCCATCTCTCACATCCATACATGATTACTGGAAAAACTATAACATTGACAAGATAGACCTTTGTTGGCAAAGTATTGTCACTGCTTTTTAATATGATGTCTATATTTGTCAAAGGTTTCCTTCCAAGGAACAAGCACCTTTTAATTTTATGGCTGCTGTCACCATCTGCAGTGATTTTTAAGCCCCCAAAATAAAGTCTGTCAATGTTTTTGTTGTTACCCCATCCATTTGCCATGAAGTGATAGGACCAAATGCCATGATCTTAGTTTTCTGAATGTTAAGTTTTAAGCCAACTGTTTCACTCTCCTCTTTCACTTTCATCAAGAGGCTCTTTAGTTCCTCTTTGTTTTCTGCCATAAGGGTAGTGTCATCTGTTTATCTGAGGTTATTGATACTTCTCCCGGCAGTCTTGATTCCAGCTTGTGCTTCATCCAGTCTGGCATTTCACATGATGTACTCTGCACATAGATTAAATAAGCAGGGTGACAATATACAGTCTTTATGTATGTACTCCTTTTCCTATTTGGAACCAGTCTGTTGTTCCATGTCCAGTTCTAACTATTGCTTCTTGACTTGCATACAGATTTCTCATGAGGCTGGTAAGGTGGTCTTGTATTTCCATCTCTTGAAGAATTTTACACAGTTTATTGTGATCTACACAGTCAAAGGCTTTGGCATGCTCAGTAAAGCTGAAGTAGATATTTTTCTGGAACTCTCTTGCTTTTTTGATGATCCAACAGATGTTGGCAATTTGATTCTGGTCCCTCTGTCTTCTCTAAATCCAGCTTGAACATCTGGAAGTTCATGGTTCATGTACTGTTGAAGCCTGGCTTAGACAATTTTGAGCATTACTTTTCTAGCATGTGAGATGAGTGCAATTGTGTGGTAGTTTGAACATTCTTGTATCAGAGTCTAGGGAAGGAAGTGGAGTGAATATTTGATTTGAGACATATAAACAGTAATGAGCAAACTGAGAAAAGACATGAAGCTCCTTAAGTATAAGAAAAAGCATATACAATCCTGAGAATAAATTGATCTTCCATTCTTTCTGTTCTTGAAAGAAGGGGCTAAAAACGTCCCTGCTCCTAAAATAAAATAGATAAATAAATAATAAGGAAGAAGAGAGTGGAAAAAAATAAAATTAGAATATTAAGCCACAATCAGATCATTCAGAGCAATTTATGTCATGGAAAGGTGTTTGCATTTCTTTCTAGTTCAACTGAGACTACTTTAAGGGGATTTAACTCATAAATGATATTATCTGATTTATGCATTTAAAAGATCACTGTAGTATGTAGCTGTACAATGATGCATAAACCATGATTGCCTCAGTAGGACTTGAATAGAGTCAAAAGCAAAGGTTGAGAAAGTCGCTAGGTTGTTTTAGTTGCTCAGGTAAAAAGATAATTGTGCTAATTAAT